AAAAATTTTTTTCGTTTTACAGGTTCAGTTATATGAAGACTTCGCCAAGTCTCAAGTAAAGAAAGGTTTGGAGGAAACAGTTTCTCAAATCGATAATGAAAACAAAAACGAGAAAGCAAGCAAAGATAATCCTCACGTTTTCCAGGTCAGTGTTAATTTCATTCTTACTGCTATACGGCGTTTATTTTACTTGTTTAATTATGAATTTGATCATGGACACTAGTCTGTCCTCAGTGCTTACCACAAATAACCTTATGCAGTATGAATATTCATTCAATCTGACGTGTAAATAATTCCCAGGCTCTTCAGTACCTGCGAAAGCTATGCAACCACCCGCTTTTGATGCTCACTACCAATCATCCAGAATACACCAAAGTTATGGACCAATTACATCAACAACATGTCTCCATCCGGGACATTCAGCATGCCGCCAAACTTGTTGCTCTCAAGTAAGTCAGGTTATTTGTTGATGTAACTTCAAGGCATTGTGCGGTTGACGTAACAATTATATTTTAATAGATTGCTAACGGATAAACTTTGAACTTTTGCAAACACTCTTTTTAGACTAGCACGTCTACACTGATTTCTGAGCTGAGAAATGGCGGTTTTTTACCAGAATGAAATTCATAAAATCCCTCACCTAATGTAAGGCCTTCTCTGCTTTCCTCCTTTCCTTGTAACCAGTTCATAAAAACTACTGAGCATTCTGTCACCCTGATAGCAGCATACTTTGCTTAGAAGTGAAAAATGAAGTAATTTTTTCCTATCAAGAATATTCCCTCGTCATAAAATATGTTGGCGTTTAGGCGTTTGACCTTTGTTGAAACGGTTTTGTTTGATGATCGCCTCAGGTTACTTAAACTCTAGTTGAACTAATTCTCTCTTTCTGTCTACAAATTGATCAACAGGCAGCTGCTGATGGATTGTGGGATAGGAGTTGGCTCCTCATCCCCAGGCTCCACTGATCTGTCTTCAGACCCTGTAGTTTCCCAACACCGGGTGCTGTTGTTCTGTCAGTTAAAGAGCATGTTGGACATCGTTGAAAATGACCTTCCTAAGTAAATGCAATCTTTTTGTTTTTTTGTTTAAATTAAGTTGCTGTTTTTTTTTTGCCATGCTGATTGATGTTGCTGCAGTCGTTTTTGGTTTTTTTATTTGACAATTGACTAGAACAAGACTCTGTGTGTACTTGTTCGTGGGTAGTACCTCGCCGCTGCGTCTCATGTTGTCGCTGTGGTGATCGAACACGTTTAAAACAGTTTATATTTGTACGACGTGTTGCAAGGACAAAGTATCATTTCATCCAACTTTCTCATCTAATACGAAGTGAATAGTCGGAGTGGCTGGTCAAGATTCTAAATCTTCACATTAATATTCAGCCTTTGGGAGCAGAAAGATGTAAAGGTTTGAAACTTAGCCTGCTTCTTATATTCAGTTTGCTTTATTCACGCAGAAAACATATGCCTATAGTGACATACCTCAGACTTGATGGAATTACGCCTGCGGGCTCGCGTCACTCGCTTGTACAAAGGTGAGAATTCTTTCATTTGAGATTTTTCGGTTTCGGTTACTGGTCCAATATCTCGCGGAACAAAGGGAGGAAACGATGGTGTGGTATCCAAACAATATTACAAGACAACCTACGACATATAATCTTTACACGCAAGTCCAGTATTCGATGCACGCCTCGCCTTAGATATCATCTCGACATTAGCATACGCAATTAATCACCACAGCTATTTGAAAAGTACATGACATTTTCACAAGTCTGCCATACCTTGACAGCTATGTTACAGATGGCTTGTCCACGAACAAATCATTGCCTCGTTTCTTTAATGCACCCTGAATAGGCCGTCTGGTAACGATTTTCTGCTTTCAACACTTTCTTGGATAGTAAACGCGACGTTTAACAGCTTTTCTGTTACTTAGAGACTTTTTTATCCTTAGA